TACCAGTTCCCAGGAAAATTACCCATTTCAAGTCACTTCCAGTTATAAACTGATCTAAATCTATTCAACTTAATTACTATGCTTTCTGTTCTATCTATTGTCATCAAGGAACAGCCAATAAAATTACAAAATTTTAACCCAGACACAGGATCAGTAGTTAGCTGGTCCCATCGTGTACTGCATGGGTCAGGTTTTTTTTTTTTTTTTATAGTGTGCACACCCTTGTCACATACCATTTCTCTCATATCTAAGCCAAAATTTCCTGCTCACAGCAAATTTACAGGTGCTATGAATTATGCCTTCTAGTAAGTCATGGATGCTAATTGCTATGACATATCAGTATATAATGGACAGCATAAAGGTTAAAGAAAAGGAGGGTTTGAGGGACAGTAAAATAGCCAACTCAGTCATTGTTATGTTTGAGATGTGAATTTTCATATTAAAATATAATTCTCACTTTAAATATTATTTTAGAATGTCTTTCATATTAAAGTTTTATGTTTTATTATAATTCATAGCTGAAGATTAGGGAAGGGCTCAATCTCTTAGGGAAAGTCGTAATGAAAATGTCAGTAAGCCATTCATTCAATTACTATCAACATACCACAAGGCAGAGTACTTGGTCCATTACAATGGAATGTCTACCTTAATGACCTAGCTTATCTCATCTCTGAATCCCATGCCTATGCAGATAACTGTACGCATTGATAGTATTTTTATTATTCTTTCAACAAACCAGCCATATCCCACCGAGGCAGGGTGGCCCCAAAAAAAAATAAACAAAAGTTTCTCTTCGTAACTTTAGTAATGTATACAGAAGGGGTTACTAGCCCCTTGCTCCTGGCATTTTAGTCGCCTCTTACAACACTCGTGGTTTATGGAGGAAGAATTCTTTATTTATAGTAATGTACCCAAAAAATAAATACCCACTGCCTTCAGATGCATCAATCACCAACCTGAAGTTATATAAACATACAGAATAGATAGATTACATTTGCTTCTGATACAATAAGCATAAAAATTATTACATTTGTGGTGGGTAAAGGGGAAGTCATATAGCACCCGGAAATTTTTTTAATAATACACCCGAGTACAATGATACCAACATTTTTACAAGGGTATAAAGTATAGGTTTTGATCGCTGCAGCGAGAAAGAGGCAGTGGTGATGTCATCCCTGAGAGCAATATTTTTTTTTTTTAACACAATGGCCTTCTCCCACCAAGGCAGGGTGGCCTGAAAAAGAAAAACTTTCATCTTCATTCACTCTATCACTGTCTTGCCAGAGGTGTGCTTACACCACAGTTATAAAACTGCAACATTAACACCCATCCTTCAGAGTGCAGACGCTGTACTTCCTATCTCCAGGACTCGAGTCCGGCCTGCCAGTTTCCCCGACTCCATTCGTAAATGTTACCTTGCTCACGCTCCAACGGCACGTCAAGTCCTAAAAATCATTCGTCTCCATTCGCTCCTATCTAACATGCTCACGCATGCTAAAAGTCAAAGCCCCTTGTACACAAAACCTTCTTTACCCCCCCCTCCAACCTTTCCTAGGCTGACCCTACCCCACCTTCCATCCACTAGATTTATACATTCTCGAAGTCATTCTATTTTGTTCCATCCTCTCTACATGTCTGAAGCACCTCAACAACCCTCCTCAGCCCTCTGGATAATGGCTTTGGTAATCCTGCACTTCTCCTAATTTCCAAACTATGAATTCTCTGCATTATTTTCACACCACACATTGCCCTCATACATGACATCTCCACTGCCTCCAACCTTCTCCTTGTTGCAACATTCACCACCATGTTTCACACCCATATAAGAGCATTGGTATAACTATACTCCCATACTTTCCCCTCCTTGCTTCCATGGACAAAGTTCGTTTTCTCTACAGACTCCTAAGTGCACCACTCGCCTTTTTCCCTCATAAATTCTATGATTCACTTCGCTGTATAGCCCTTGTGGCTTAGCGCTTCTTTTTGATTATTATAATAATAATATATGATTCACTTCATCTTTCATAGTTCCATCTGTTGATATGTCCACTCCTAAGTATCTGAATACATTCACCTCCTCCATACTCTCTCCCTCCAATCTGATATCCAATCTTTTGTCACCTAATTTTTTTGTTATTCGCATCACCTTACTCTTTCCTATATTCACTTTTAATTTTCTTCTTTTACATACCCTACCAAACTCATCCATCAACCTCTGCAACTTCAGGCTATACGTGGTGTGAATATCATAGTATTCAGAGCACAGAAGTTATAGGCAATGCGGGGTCATCAAAGGTGTAATTCAGGAGGGGAGGCTTGAGATGATTAGGGCATGTAGAGAGTAATGGAGAGTGACAGGCTGACAAAGAGGGTACATTAATCTTGAGTGAAAGGTAAGGGTCATACCAGTAGTTGGAGGGACAGGGTAAAAGAAGATTAGCTTTTGGGGCTTGAACATGCAGCTTTAACACTTTTTTTTATTATAATAAGTGAACATGCAGCAGGCTTGTATGAGTGTACTGGGAGTACATGGAGACTGATTTTTAATGGACATGCTGCTGGAGTGAGCAAGCTAACTTTATGAAGGTATTCATGAAAACCATTAAGATGGACTCGAGTCCTTGAGGTGGAAAGGGCAGTGCCTGCACTCTAAAAAGGGATGGGGGATATTGCAGTCAGAGGGTAATCTGACTGTGATGTCAGCAAACTGATAAGATGGCGAGTTGGTGACTGATGTGTGTAATTCTTGGGGGCACCCTGCCATGACGGGAAGAAGGCTGTTGGGTTAAGAAAAAAAATAATGTTACAAGATTGGGCTTTCCAGGAGGTGCCTTGATGACTGTGAAAGGGTTGTAATCCAGAAAAAAAAATAGGTACCATCGCTTTCCTTGGATCAAAATCTGATTGCCTCCTATTTCCAACGTCGCTTACACGACCCTTATGGGTTTAGTGCCCTTGAAATTAATATTGATGGTCTCTGAGAATGCTGTTACTAGTTGGGGGTACAAATCATTACAAGAGTCCTAGTACCTGGTAAAGTAGATATCCTGGGGCAAAACATTATTGAAATAGCTGCACATGATAAAACACACAAGGCAACTAAGAAGCTTAGTGCTAAAGCGTATCTCATACCTACTCACCAATTGAGGCTATATAACTATACCCCCTCAGGGAAAGTTCCCTGATACTGGTAAGGAACTAGAAATGTGATCCAATTCCTTGTGTCGAGTCTGAATGCCTTCCATTTCCCCAGGCTGTATGCCCATTGGGTTAAGCACTCCCTCGTGAATGTAATAATATATAACCATACAAGGCACAGGTTTCCATTTAATTCAAAAAATGTACCTATTTATTAAACTGCCAACCTAGTCTTGTCTCATAATTCTGGACAAGGTAAAAGTCTGTGAAAGGCAACATATCTCTCGACTTGATCCAGCCCTTGTATATTCTATTTCCATTAAGTCTTCAAGGGCACAGATGTTGGTGACCTTAGTGTTATATACAGGATCAGTTTTAACAAGGATTCACACCAAGTCCAGCTTTGCAAACAGCCAGAACAGATCTCTTATAACAAATGATGGGCAGCTATCAGTAACTTCAACTTTTGCTGTGTCCTTATCAAAGAAAGCACTCCATCAGCAATAATTCATTCATTTCTTGAATAATTAACAATGCCTTAAAATGAACATACGAGTAATAAAGTCAACTGCCAGAACATAAGACCTGACCCACAGCTGGCTCCAACTTTGTCCTGGTTCTTGTATCTTAATATTAAAATAATTATTAAACTATGTATTATCTGAAATCACGATGTTGCGAATGAGCTGACAAGATATGAGCTCTTAGTCTGCAAACAACTAAAAAAAATGCAAATCAGAAAAGTTATGCTGATTTACAAGATGCATATGTATTAGGAGCAATTTATTTTCAAAAAAGTATTGAAAACAAAATGTCAAATAGGAAAAGTAAATCTACATAGGACATTTGTTAAGGTTTGATGAAGACAGTGACAAAACAACTGGAAGAACCAGCAAAGATATAGCCAATACCTTCAAAACTTGATTACCACTGTAAAAAAGAATATGGGATGAAGTGTAAGAGCAAATCTTTTGTTTTCTAGACAGCACCGAAAATAAAACAGTATTGGAGTGGATAAGGCAGTAAGACATATGTTAAGCTCTGCCATAAACAGTGATGACAATGTAGATCGTATTAAAAAAAAAAAAAAATTCCTCTTACATACTTAGCACTTTCTCTGATTCTAATAATAATAATAATAATTCCTCTTACATAAGAGGTGGGAAGCCAAGCCTGATCTCTACAACTGAAGGATAAATACTTTCCTGAGCCTCTTGCTGCAACAGAAAAGAAGATATTGTAAAAAATAAGTTTTGTGTAGTCACAACACAAGGCAGCCCCAACAGTCCAGAGACAAAATACTGATCCAAAGATTTTGAAACGGTACTCATGGTATTACACCTTACTCAAGTACTATACCACAAACAAATGTGACTGTAACCCTCTACAGTCAGTGGGATATGGCCAGTTTGTTGAAAGAAAGAACCCTCTACAGTGTTAATAACAAGAAAAAGAAATATCTTAAAAGATTGCAAGGTTATAAACATGCATGGGTGAATCCACTAAGTAACTAGGAGCAGCACAGAATTAAAATTCGGCTATAGTATTACATCCACCTTGCCCAGTTTCACACGTTGTTACAAAAATGTGCATTGTATAAACTGGAGTAAAAAAAAAGGAATAAACCATGCCATGATGGATCTATCTTGCAAAAAATGCATTGTATAAGATTCTACTGTATAATAATCATTAAGGAGAAACTGTTCCTGAAAGGATTTTTAATACACTTTTAATAAGATATTAGTAGGGAAAACAAAAATTTACTTTCAGTAGCAACTAATTTAAAATATTTTCTTATGATGAAAGCATTTACATTTATGAAATTTAAATTTAAATATATATACTGTATATACATATACACACACTGGAGTAACAAGATCAACCGCCCAGTCAAATACATATCCTTTTTTTTTTTCACTCCTAAATCACTACATTATGTTTGAAATAAAGAGTAGAACCATCTAAAATTTTTTCCATAATCACTTATTTGTATCAAGTAGGTCTTCCACTCTATACTGACCGTAACAGACCACTGCTGCTCACTCATACTGCTTACATACATACAGTGAAAGTACAGAAACTCACTCAAAGAAGAGTAATTCAAGATGTCAAAATTTTGATGCTCTATCTCATTGTTCAGGAACTTTTCCAAGATAGGGGTCTCCAACTGTTTCTTAAGAAAAACATTTTCAAACCATGATTTTTAATTAGATCTGCAGAATTCTTCTGACACAATCTCCATTTGGTTCTAGAGAAGAGAGCAATACCCACCCGTAAGCTTCTTCATTGGTCCGTTGGTTAGATACACTGAACGCGCCTTGAGATCTTTGATCCATCTCCCACAGCCGGGCGTCTGGATGATCTATTTTGAATAAAGACATGTCAGTAATTTTTTTCAATGTTACAGTACCTAAGTTAAGATGTTCTTATTTCAAATTAATATAAAAATTAGATACAATTTGAAACTCCCAGCAAATATGATTTATTTGGAACAGTAAGTAATGAACCTGATCTTTCTTCTTTCAACACACACGGCCGCATCCCACCGAGGCGGGGTGGCCCAAAAGGAAAAACGAAAGTTTCTCCCTTTACATTTAGTAATATATAACAGGAGAAGGGTTACTAGCCCCTTGCTCCTGGCATTTTAGTCGCCTCTTACAACACGCACAGCTTACGGAGGAAGAATTCTGTTCCACTTCCCCATGGAGATAAGAGGAAATAAGCAAGAACAAGAACTAGAAAGAAAATAGAAGAAAACCCAGAGGGATGTGTATATATATAATATGCTTGTACATGTATGTGTAGTGTGACCTAAGTGTAAGTAAAAGTAGCAAGACGTACCTGAAATCTTGCATTTTTATGAGACAGAAAAAAGACACCAGCAATCCTACCAAGTGAGTTTTACACTCACTTGGCAGGACGGTATTACCTCCCTGGGCAGTTGCTGTCTACCAACCTACTACCTAGGATGAACCTGACACCAGTCATTAAATATCAGGGATGTAAACAAAAAATCAGAATCAGAGGGTATCAGCACCAGTACTGGTTTGTTTTGATAGAATCAGTATCAGCCTAAAAAAAGAGTATCTGTACACTAGCAAATATAGAAACATTCTCTTTGCCTGAATTTCATATGTTCAAACTGGTTATCAGCAATTATGAATTTAAGAAAACATTGTTTCCTGACATTTCGTAAGGTTTAAATATTCTACATTTAAAGACTGGTAATGGTGTACAAATATTTGTAATAATTCTGTAACCCATGGTAAATTAAGCAATTTTATAGGAAATATACTTAGTCAGGTGGTGTGGAAGGGTATGAGCTTCACTTATATCAAACACCAGAAACCTACTTTCACTAATACCTTTACAAGTACCTGTTACCCCCCACTCACTTTACCACATGAAATACCTATTGCACTCAACACCTCATAAAAACTGAAGGGGTGAAAATCATAAGTAAAGACTGTTTTGTTAGACAAAGATGGAGGGAGGGAAGGAAATGGAAGACAAAGGAAAGGAATTGGGAAGAGCAGAAAGGAAACAGGGGAGGGAAAAGATGAGAGGGGGATTCACCTCAGGTTTTTAATCATTTACCTCAATGGCCAAAGGAAGGGTGACCCAAATAAGCAAACGCATTCACCATTTATTCCTTAGCTGTCTTGCCAGAAGCTTTGCTAATATCACAAATCAGATTACCCTCTGATTGTAAATAACCTTTCCTCCTAAATGCATGCACTGTCATTCCATCTCCAGGATTCAAGTCTGGCTAACTGGTTTCCCTGATCCCTACATAAATGTTATCCACTGCTCACACTCTAACAGTAGTACATACATCAGTAACTATTTTTTCTTAAAACACACTGGCCATCTCTCAGCAAGGCAGGGTGACCAGAAAAAGAAAACACTTTCACCATCATTTACACTATCACAAGTTTGATGGATGTTTAAGCCCCTCTGAAACTCAAACCTCCTTTACTCAATCCCCCCAACTATTCTGGGACGACCCATGCGATAAAAATATACACAGTAGACTGTCAGATAATGCAGAAAATTCTGTTCCTAAAAATGATGTGTAGTAAAAAAAATAGAGTAAACAAAAATGAAGAACATAGGAGAGAAAAAGGTTAGGTTCATTAACACCCCCCCCCCCTCAAAAAAAAAATTTAATCTCAAAATTATAAAAAACAATGATGATCCTGCAACAACATCTCTGTTAACAGACAAAGATAGTTTATTGTTTGGTTGTCCTAGTAGTTGCAGCTGTATGGGAGTTATAAAGGATGGAGAGTACATGAGAAGAATTAGAGTGGCTGGTGTGGAGATTGGGGGACTACTGTTGTGGGAGGTAAAAACTAAATGGTTGAGGGGCAAGAGGCAGGGGTTATAGGCTGGTGTTGGGAGGTGAGGATACTGGGCAGGTGAAGGGAGAAAGGGGGTGGAGTCTGGGAGCAACGAGTTGATGTAATGACGACCATGTGGGTGGCCCCAGCATGGGTGGCGGTGGGTGACTACGTGACTAGGTGTGTGGGCCGTGAAAGCGTGGGTAAAATGTGGGCTTGAAGCTGTGAGGGAAGGTTTGGTGTGGGTGAAAGCATGGGTACAATGTGGGAGTGGGGCCATGTGGGTGGGAATCTGCAGGGAAGTTGTGTAGATGAAAGGTGTAGTTGTCCATGGCCTGGTATGGGTGATGGGTGGTTGGTGGTGTAGGCAGTAATGAGAGTGGTGGGTGACTTTAGTAATTAGGTATGTGGGCAGTGTGTTAGAGTGAAAGGCTGGGCAAGGTGTGGTCTTCAGGTAATGGGGAAATGGAGGAGGTGTGCCATGGAAGGTGGGGGAGGGAATTGTTTGGATGGGGGCTGCTGGGTGTGCAGTGAGAGCATGTTGCCACAGGAGGGAGGGAAAGTTGAATGAGCAGTTGGTGTGGGGCTGAAGTATAGTACCAATGCGTATGAATGTAACACGTTATTAGACACACATGAACATTGCACTGAGCCTCACTGCCATGCCCTTCTGCCCATACATTCTAGCCCTCACCCTCCTGCCCATATGTTGGAGGGTGGAACAACAATGGAATGACTTCACCCATACTTCCCTTCCATACTTTCTTGGACCTCACCCCCTTCCCCCACGCTTACACCCACCTCTCTCCCAAACACTCGCCTTTACTTGCATATCTCAACCCACCTGCCTCTACCCACTCCCACAACAATGTCCATCTAACCATAAGCTACAGTACCACATGGAATGTACAACAGATGAAGGGAAGGTGGCATGGCAGACAGCATGCACCTGCAGGCCTCTCTCAACCCTTCCCTCATCACTCTTCACCAAGTACATACCTTGTCCTCACTAGCTTCCACCCACTAGCTCGCATGTTTATACCCACTAGTGCACACATTCATACTTGTCACCTCACATGTTTATATCCACCAGCTCCGCATATTCATACTCACATTAGCCTGCATGTTCATATCCACTAGCTCACACGTTCTGCCCACTAACTCGCATGTTCATGCCACTAGCTTGTGCGTTCATACCCACTAGCCCAGAAGACAATGAACTCACTCTGAAGCAGAAGGAAAAGACTACGGTGCTTGCCCAGTTTTCCCCTACATGTACTACCATATAAACCCATTTTTACAGAGTGTATGCCGAAAATGTGCCATAATTTCACAAAATTTATCAGATTACATGTTATCCGAGTCTACTGTAATTAGGTAAGGAACATTATTTGTCCAAATCTCATCTGTTAATAACACTAATGCAGAAACAATTCTGTATTATTTGCAAGTCTAAGCTCACAAAACCTCTAAGAATGGTAGCCACTAACCTGAAATTTTGAGATTTGGTTATTACTCCTGTAATAACAAATCTAGGAAAACAGAAAAGTACATATCAACATAGCAGCATAATGTTATTTTGATGGAAGGGAGACATGAATAGATAAATAGGTGAATGTCTTAACAGTTTTATATTAGCTCAGTATTACCTTCTGGACAAGTTCCTCAAAGGCACATTGTACACCATCCTTGGTTTTGGCTGAGGCTTCAATAAACAGCATTGCATGACGTCTAGCAAATTTTAGACCTTCCTCTCTACTTACTTCAACTTTCTCCTGAAAAATTAAGCAAAATGTGAAGCATACCAAGGTAACTCTTGAAACATCCAAGTGTAAGAAACTCTTGTCAATGAGAGATTCAAGATCACATGGAGGCAAGGCAGGATTGGCTGGCTGGACAATTAACTAGCTAAGTAACTGGTTGGCTAACTGGCTGGGTGAGTGTCACCAACCCCTTCCTGCCTCTCTCCCTCTCTTCACCAGACATTCTGGCCACCACCTCCCTCCCTCCTTATCACCACATCATTCAGGGTGAGTGCAGTTAGTATGTACTATACAGGTACAGCACTTGCTCTCTGCATCCACCTACTGCTCCCCCAGGCCCCAATCCCCCCATGAACTGACAGCTTCACTCTTTTCCTCCCTCTACATAGCCAGATCTGTAAATTTATTCAGGTACAGGTACACATACATACAATTATGGTGTAAATTACCTAGGATAACCCAAAAAGGTCAAACAAAGTGACTTATTGCCACAGGGGTCCTTGGGCTAGATGAATACTTAAATTCTCCATTCAGACAATGTAAATAATTTCTACAAATATCTGCCTGCCTCTTCCTCCTTGCTTGCTCCCCTGCCCCCCTTAACGTTGAAGCAAAAGGGTTAAAATACCTGAATTTTTGTATCCAGCTGTCTTTTGCACCAGCAGGCCAACCCTTATTTCAGAAGAGGGCCAGACGTCATGAAATAAAAAATTTCTTTTTTTGGGGTTTTGCAGATAATTGCTTTTGTATACCCCCTCCCTCTATTAGTCTTTTAAAATGAGAATTTTACTGAAGTAGTTATTTTGTATGTTCTTGAGTTTCCTACAGGCTATATGAAAGCTGAGAAGAAAAATATGAACTAGCCAAATGCGCTTACAAATTGAATGTAAAGGGGAAATTTTTTGACTAGCGCATCACACGGTGGTGTCTTTGACACACGCACTTGAGTTTTTAGCCTTATTCCTTAAGTTTACTAAAACATTTTAGTATCCATAAAAAGGATATTTTCATCACCCTATCTTGTCTCTCAATTTTAAACCCCTTTTTCAGGTCCCAGGCCCCTCCGAGACTTGTTCTCGGGGGTATTGAGAGAAAAGTTCAACGATGGAGTAAGATATTTTGATTCCCCGGTGCTTGTTGGTGGGGTCAGTCTAGCCCCGGCTATCCCCCCCCCCCTTTTCCCCCCCCACCCCCGAAAGGTGCGTGGGGGGCTCCCGGCCAAACAGAACCCACTCAACCACGCTCCCAGAAAAACTTGAGTAAAAGCCTCGCTCCTATTTAGGGATTTTGGTTGAAACCTTCACTTTTGCCCAATAAGAACTTAGTCCTTTCAGTTTTAAGCTCCCATGAGACTTTTAGATAATCACCACCTTTTTTAAGTATCTTGCATTATCATGGAGAGTGATTTCTTAAGCAGTGGGTAACGTCTCTCTTTCCAGCTTGGAATGACACTGGGGTCACCTCCCAAACCAACGAGGAGTGTTGGGGAAAGGGGAGAAAACCGGTCTTGAGACTCATTTTATGATTACCTACCTGTTTAATTTACGGGCCAATCCCTCATCTTGTGTGTAAAAAAAACCTGGTTTTGTCATCAAACTGACTATTAAAGGGCAAAGACTCTGTGAAATAGTCATTGGGTTGCACTCAACACCTGGACCCCCCCCCCCCACACATAATATCAACGGCTACAATTTCACAAGACGGTTCAACACAACCCAACACCCCATTTCTTGTACTATTTGCGTTGAATTCAAAAGGCAAATTTTTCTTTTATTTTTTATTTTTTTCTCTAAGTAGGATAACCTTTTATTTTAATGTTTTTCTTTTTATTACAAAAAATAAAAGGTTCTCTTTGTGAAATTTTATTTCTTTTCTGTTTATTTTAAATTTTTCCCGAAGAGGACCAGCTGTTACAGGGCTGAGTAAGCCCTTACAAGTGGTGACCTTGCCAGGACACTCTAGTATCAAGATTCAACTCCTCTCGAACTATCATTTAAAATTTAAAAACCGCCTACACAACGGGTTTCCACCAGCCATGAGTAATCATTCTTATTTTAGGGCTACATACAGGTATTTAAAAGTCGGTGATTTTTATTCTCAATTTATTGTAATCAAGTCAGAGGATTTTCTAGTTAATTCCCTTCATCTGTATTTTTGAGCTTGAAACGATTTGGAGGATAGACTCTAGGGGGCCCGAGATTTCCAGTGAAAGTTGTTTCATTTAGTTTTATTTTAAACAAGGGAACTTTGTAGGGACACTCTTGATTTTTGTTTTGAAAGTTGGATGGTCAAGGGACCCCATTCTACTTACTGTTTGCCGAAGCCGGCAAAGAACCCTCCGTTTTCATTCCAATACTGTTTAAACGAAGCAGGGATCGAACCCCCCGTTTTTTACAGTTTGGCGGAGCAGGAATTGAGCCCTCCCTTTTTTTTTGATATATCAGTTTTTATTTTTCCCCGGTATTTAATTATTCTTGCAATATGGAGGAATACCATTTTTTGGGTAAAAAAACTGGGAGTAAGTTTTTGGGAAAAACGGGGGAAGAATTTAGAAGCTTTCATTAGCGCTTTAAAAATCCAGGAAAGAGAAAGAAAAAGGGGAGAACCTTGAGAGAGAGGTGAAAAAGAGAGAGAAACCAGAGAGAGAAAAAGGAGAGGAGAGAATTGAGAGAGAGGGGGGGAAAAAAGGGGGAGATCAAATTAAAAGAGAAAGTCAAAAAAAGACAGAAAGGAGAGAAAAAACAGGAGCGGATAGACTTGATCGTGAGAGAGAGCTAAAATAAGTAGGAACAACTAAATACAGGAGGGAAAAAGCTAAAAAAGGAGGAACAAGCTAAAAAAAGTGAGGAAAAAAGTTAGATTAAGAGGCTTGAGGAAAAAGCAAAAGATAGAGAAAAAAAGTTAAAGAAAGAGAAAAAGATTTTCGAGTAGAGAAATCTCGCCTTGAATTAGAGAATAAAAAGTTATCTTTTTACACAACAACAATTAGGGAAGGAGTAACTGAACATCTTTCAGCTAGTGCCCTCCCTTCACAGAGGGTTGAAGCATTACTTTATGCATTTAAATCAGGTTTAAAATCCCGAAACCCTCTGTGAATGGCCTGCTGAACCTGGGCTACCAGGTTAGGAATGTTATTTTCTGGTACAGCTTTAAAATATCTATGCAACTTGTCGCAGGTATCATATGAAATTTTAAAAACCCTACTGAAAAGGCAATCCTTAAAGCATATCGAAAAACCACAAATTCTTACGGGAAAATATCAGGTATGCCACCTTAAGCAGGGCCAAAAACTTTCAGCATTACAGGTAACGCTCTTCATTTGTTCGATTTTTGATAGAGAGTTCGGAAATTTGATCACAGTTAGAATCTTTTAGAGACTTCAGGGTTTTGCTGACCAGTTCCTGAAGCTCCCCCCCACCAAATACGAACTTTTTATTAGAGAACGTAACCTGTTAAAGCTGAGGAAGTTGCGGGCTCACAATTCCAAAAAAGCCTAAAGGGATCAAACCTTTAAGGGCAATGGTTCACCTAAACCAAAGATTAAGAAGCCTCAGAAAACAAAGTACCGCTATTATACCAACAGTCATCGGGGGGGGTGGTATGGCCCAGTTTGCCCTTTTCCAAAAAATAAGAAAGTTGGTATGTTTTGTTGATGGTAATGACCAAGCACCCTTCGTTCAGGAGAGTTTAAAGGGATAAAAGTCTCGAATATTACGTGACACTGGGTGTACGTGCATTAATTTCGGACAAAAAATGTTTCCCCTTACTTTAAAAAACCCCTTTGTGTGTCCTCTATTCTTTCAGATTACTTGGGGGCGTGAAAATACTTTCCCACAAAAGTTGTTTTTTGAAAACTAAAAAGGTTTACCGGTTGGATAATGTGGTACTAGCCCCAATTACTTTTTCTATAATAGTGGGTAACATTAAAATGCCCTTCTTCCTTCAAGACGGGATCTTTTGTCACTACCCATGGATCTAAGTTTTCCCCTCCCCTTCCTTTCAAAAAAGCCCCTTTTAAAAATTCCCCACCGGAAGCTGCATTTTCGTACTGTTCTTTTTGGGGGGAAACAAAGATCTGCTCTCGATAGTGGGTACGGATCCCTGTCCACTTGTCAGGTGAAAGTAAGGGTATTGCCCTGGCATCCCAAAGTCTTGACTAGGGCCAGACCAAACCCGGGCTTCTCCCCCTCTTCTCCCCCATAACCCTTTATTTTCCCAGATTTTTTTATCCCCAAGGATTATTTTGTCAATATACACGCGATTGCCCTTCAACAGGTTTGTCATAATCAAGCTTTTAACAAAAAGTTATCCCGGAGTACTACTCATAAGTTTGAATATTTAAGGTATCTTATATAAATTCATTCTTCAGCGATAGATTTTTCCCCTCCTTGTTTTTCCCTAAACCATTCAGAGATTTTCTTAAAAGGGGCTCTGATTTGCAGTGCCAAACACATGGCCCATCGAAAGACGGGCTAAACCAACCACTTTTTTTTGGCCAAGCAGCACTTAAAGGTTACAAAGAAGTATATTTTTTTGCAAAGGGTCGGGTGCTTGCTGCCAAATACCCCAACACCCCAGTTCCGTATATTTTTTAAATTTAAAATTTTCCCTTTTGCAAAACGAAAACTCCACCATAGAAAAGGAATTTTTGGCCCCTTGTATGGGGTATCCCCAAAATTTTAAATTTTATTTACGGGGAAAAAAGAATTTTTTTTTAGAAATGGATCAAAAACCCTTTGTTTAACCTAAAAATTTTTAAAAGGGAACCAACAGTCGCCCTTAAGGGGGACTTGGGGCACTCCAAGTTTTTAATTTTCATATTGTGTATATCAAGGTTTCATCCAATTATTTCTCTGACTGGTTAGTCATGACGTTAGTAGATTTGTTGCCTTACTACTTCATTTAAACTTTTTCCTCGCCTATCTTCTTACTCTTGACTTTAAGTCTTGGTATGGGGGAGTTGAGGGAAAAGTTCAACAAAGGAGTAGCGAGCGGTATATGAAAACAATATT